GGGGGGGGGGGGGGAGAACCGCAGAAGACACCGCACGGCGGTGGTGTGCAAACGTGTCAACCCACCAATCATTACTCTTCACTGGACAAGAGCCAAAGGTAAACCCACGGTTTCACCGAATTAGTAGCGATCCCACGGCTCATGAACGGCGGGGAGGGTTAGGCTCTGGGGGACTGTATCTGGATGTTCACCTGAGGGCATGCTGCGGCCCCTCGTGGTCCAAAACGCCTCCAAAGAGCAAGGCCCTGTTCTTGTGGACCGTCATCGCCGCGCCGGATCGGATCGACGGCGGGGCCCCCTTCTTCCCGATCTGACACAAGAAAATGCGTTATACATGTTGTTATTGTTGTTGTAGAGATGTTGCTTCCGTTGACCAGATATCTGCCATAAATGTTATTTACATGCTGGTACTCTCCCGTGACAAGCACCCTCTTGCATCCCACTTTTTCAACACCTAGCCCGCTGCAGACGTTCTCAGGACATATTTCCTTCGGTCTCTCTCTTTTGCAACGAACCAGTTCATCACCGCGAATCCACATCGAACGCAACCCACAAGACGACAAAACATCAAACAGGCTGCCAGCAAGGAGCGCCCCCTCCCATAGGAGCATCCCCCCCTCCCCATTGCTCTCTCAGGAAAATAGACAAAATGGCGCACCCGGTCCCATGTCGGATTTCCCCCGGATACGGCTGGCTTCATGTTCAAAACCCACATGTCGTTGAGAGTCTTGCCCTCTTTCTTCTGCCCAGGCTCCCTCTCCTGAGGTTAGGGGAGGAAAACAGGGGCGGTAGGATTAAGGTGATGATCTGATTATCACCACTCGCAAGGCTAGTCTCAAGTCTCAGTTGATTTTGTCACTCGAGGATATTATTTTATGTATCAGGGTGACAGAATGGGAAACCAACGTAGAGCTGCGGGAGGGCATGCGACCACACTGGCCAAGACAACAGGTGACGGCAATCCAAACGATACAGCACGTCAGAACACAACGCCAGACTGACCTTCGAATACCCCCCATACAGGAATATTTGTTCCCCCGGTGCGTACACCGCCATCTGGTGCCCGCTCCTTGGGGCAGGTATCGTAGCCGTGGCGGGGAACTCTATCCGCCGCCACCTGCGTGTGCAAAAAAAGCAATCCGGGGGGAGGACGGAGGGCGCGGCGCAACTAGCAACTCAACGACCAGCTTCGCACATCGCACAGAATCGCACAACACACCGCACGGCACACACACAGAGCAAAGGAGTGCCTCAAACTCCCTTCAAAACGTGTCAAGATACGTATATCTGAAGCTAAATCTACCCGATTCTTCTTCTCGTGGCCAGCGATTCAGCCCGCTCCCCTGGCTCGGGGCCTTGCTATGATGTGCTTGTCCTCTGCTGCGCAGCACGAGGAGCGTGGCATTACCGAGCACCATTAGGCAAGGTCTCGTAAATCCACGCCAGATCGAATCAAGCCAACCAACTGGACCGAGTTCCATTAAAGTCTCTTGAAACAGATGCAACACATCAAACACAGGCAGTGCTTCCGCTAACGCTGTGTATAGATTCGTTGCTATTTTATCCCGGACTCTTATTTTGTGGATAGGGATGGAGTCGTTGTGTTAAATGCATATCGCCACAACGAACCGGACCACTCCATCCCACCAATCTGAGAACCGCTCCACTTGATGTCCTGGAGGTGAAAAACGCCCCAGACGACTGCAAGACGACCCATCCCACCCAAACGACCCAGACCGCTACACAACGATCCATCTCATCAACCCTACAACCGGCTGCTCACTTGAGGTCCTGGAAACCCATGATGTAGAGGTCGTTGAACCAACTTGTGACGCGAGACGCCTCGTGGAACCCTCCGAAAAGGACGAGCTGATTGCGCCACACCACCGTGCGGTGGCCGCTTCTCATTGAGGGGGACTTGCCTAACGTCTCCAGCTGCTCCCAAGCGTTCGTCTGTGCGACAGCAACAGCGGCGGCGGCGGACAAGAAAACGGCGATACAGCACAAGCGGACAGATAGTCCCAATTCCAAGAGGTTGGGTATGACAGCTAAACCTTGTAGGGCGAGACAAGACCGAGACAAAAAACACGACAGAAGTTTCTCCCAGCGCACGATAATGCAGGTGCGATTCCTCTTCAAATCTTGCCAAACACAACAACAAACGACAAAAAAAAAACAGCGCGCCAAACACACACACAATAGCCTGCCTTTACCTTGACGTTGAGTCGCCAGAAGTCCTTGTAGTGGCGGAACTGGTCCGTCGTGGCAAACTCCCCGCCGAACACATACAAGTGATCTCTGAAATACGCCGCTTGGTGGGAGCACCGGGGGGGCGGGGTGTTGGGCGACTCGATCTGGCGCCACTCGTTCTTCTCGACGTTCCACCTGTGGCAAAAAAAAAAAAGAGGTTCTAGGTCGGAGTACATCACTCAACCTTCAAGCTTTGCTTTCACAACACGCAAGCCCTGTAGTTGAAATGAAAACTCGGGTACAATCGTCGGCCCGATTTGTTGTCGGGCGTAAAGCCAATGTTCCGGCTTCGGTTTCACAAAACGTAGCCCTACAGTTTGAAACGAGAACACTTGAATTGTCCGCTTTTTGTTATCGTTCAACATCACGACCACTTGTAATTCCGTCAAAGGTTTCCTTACGATACCAATCCCCGTTCGCAACAACAGAGCGATGAGCAAGTACCATGCTGCCGTGAGGTGGCCATAGGGGGTGCCGCTTTCAAGCAACGCTGGAGATGTGTGGCATTTAGTGCAGCCCAAAGGACCGTTGCAAACTCGCAAGGGTCTCATCCAACATCTATCACCGAATCATCACATACGTAAACCAAACCGTAATTAGAGTAAATCGTCCTCGACGGACGTTGGGGAGATAGTGCCTTTATCATGGAAGGTGGTCTCCACAAAACCACTCCTGACCTTGGACCCGGGCTCGCAAGCCACCCCCCAACCCGACCCACCAACGACAGACCGTCGCACGGCCTGAGACGAACGAACACACCTCTGTGTGGGATAACACTCGGAATACTCACTTCGTGGCTGTGCCCTTAGCAGCCTTTGGTGCTACCAAAATCACCCCCCAACACCGGTTCACAATGAAGCAACCGGGGAACAAAAGCCATGACTCCTTTGATGTTTGAACCATTCAGGTCCGATGATTTGGGTCATTCAAATGTCTGAATCAGCCGGATCCTGGTCGACGGCAACCAACCAATACTCTCCACCCACTGCGCCCACACTATAATAACACAAGATGTGGGGAACATGTCCTTTCAGATCAAATCTACCGGCTAAGCTGCAATATCCAAATGGAAGTCACCACGGCGGGTACGACATGTGATAAGCCTGGTTCCGCGTGTGCGAGAGAGAGCAGAGACAAAGCACGCCGGAGCGGATGTGATCAAGCAATGGCGAACTGCCTCAAAAACATTTCTACAGCAGCAGCAGCAGCAGCAGCGCACACCGGAAGAGATCCTTGAAGCACTTGGTGTCCTGGCCGTCGAAGCACTCCCCGCCGAAAAGGATCATGTCGCCGGAGGGGAGGGAGGTCACCGTGAAGTTGGCCCTGGGAGAAGGGGGTCCATCGCACACCGTCACAGTGACCTAGTGGGAGGTAAACCAACCCCGAACCGGACAGTCGGAGGGTGACCGATGTATCTCCAATTGTGAATCAAAACGGACAGCCAGAACAACGAAGGGAACAGAGAAAAACCACGCTAGCTTTGTCTGAATCAGGACGAAGCCTAGGAACTCATAGGAAGGTTCGTCGAAATGCAATTCAACAGCGCTTAGTCTCAGACGATCACATCGTTGATGATTTCTCGACTATACGCTCGTTCAGGGAGGCGACGTGCAAGGGAGGTGACCGCTCGTCTCAGAGAGAAGGGAGATCAATGCTGCGGGATGCTCGAGTCTCCATAAACAGGAGGAACAAGGAACGAGAACTTTTTGTTTGCAACACACCCCTTTCGATTGGGGCATTTCCTCGGACGGGTAGTATTTCTGCTACTGTACGTATGTGTGCTTGAATATTCTAACAACCTGAGCCACGACAATGTATGAATTTCGTTGAGTTTTCTGAGCGGAAGAACTTCGTTTATACAGCCATCAGAGTGCTGATGGGGTAGTGGTATAGACGCTTGCGGTTTGCGTCTTCACGAACAATGGTGGCGGGCGCCCTGGAAGCCTCTCGCGGGGACTGGCCACTCGACCTCCGTCGAGCCCTCGTACAATCCGGCTGTAGAGCGGATACCTTCAGCAGGGAGCTAAGCCATGCGATAATTTCGGCGACCGACCTGGTTTGAATCCTCCCAGAATCCACCGTCGTAGGCCACTCGGTCTTGCGGCCGAGCAGCCTCCAACGGCTGACCTTGGAAGAACTCAAACCAGGTCGATCCCATCACCCAAATTACGACATGGCCAGACTCCCTACCGAAGGTACGCCTTACGGCCGTGATCTCGGCGATCGATCTGCTTTGAACCCTCCCAGAACCCATCGTTGGAGGCCACTCGGCCGGTATACGCTATACGACCGAATGATCCGAGGACTTGACGGAGGTCTATGTGCCCACACGCTGGCCACGAGCTTTAGGCCCACCGAAGTCCTGGGGTCCCACGGCTCGCACACCTACGAAGTGGGGCGAGATCGCGACCACAAGCCCCACCCAGCCCACCCAGAATAGTATTTGCGTCGGTGATCTACCCTTTTCGCTCTTCGCTCTGAAACCTCTACACTGTAGGACAGGCAGGCAAGGCAATATGCCTGTAGTGCATTCAACCTCACGTCCTTTTTGCTTGACACATCGAGCCCCTACTAACATGTTTCATGCGCACACAAACAAGAAAACACGTCGTACTTGACATAAAAGCACAACGAACATCTCTCAAGACCACGCCTGGGGCTTGAAGTGTACCGCAAAGAAGGCCTGCGGGGTGGAACTCGAATGAGTAAACGTCGGTGGTTGCAACAAGTGATGTGCTGTACTGACCGCGGTTTGCTTGGCCTCCTTTTGGAGAATGTCGGCCAGAATCGCCTCGATGTCATCCTCGCCGGCCTCGCGAGCGTCCTGGGCGGGGTGTTGACGGGGCATAATGACGGCAACAGCAAACGGGGGGAACATGGGTGAGCATAACCTTCAAGCAGGCTACAGCCACCAAACCAGTTTAGAAGCGCCCATATATATCAAAAGAAGCCGTGCCCTCGCTTGTGTCGTTGTAGCATATGCCGCCACATCTGCCTAGGTAGTCGTTCATGTGCAACTATTCGTACAGTTTTTCAAGCAAGCGCACTATCCCTACAAAAATATATTGTAAAGATTTTCGTTCAACCGGTAGTCATCTGTTCACACATCTACCTTACCTGCAGGTTTCCGTAGTAGTACCCTTTGGGACAGGGGAACTTCAGACGAGACAGTGTCGAGCCTCAACGCCGAGCGCTGCGCTGCATGCATAGGCCCTACTGCAATAAGCCAACGTTCTATTGTTGCCCCACGTGGACAAGTCAAGCTATGCTTGAAATTATGCCAGCTTCATATGCATACGAGCGGGAGAATGTCTGGAAGTTGCTCATGGATGTCAGCATGAACGTTGTTGTTGTTGTTGTTGTTCTTTGTCACATTAGCTCTATAGTCCACAAAAAATGGGGGGCCCGCGGTCTCGAAACCCGGCACATACAACGCCGCGGGGAAACAAAACAAAAATAGGGTACAAACCACTCGGAAAAAGAAAAGAAAACGATCGAAAGAAAAGAACAGGTTCGAGAAAAGAGCCCTCGGAAACCGATCAAAAAATAACAAAAACAAAATTAAGGAAGACGCTTCCCACACCCGCCCAACGAAAAAATCAAAGGGTTACGTACCAGCACCAGGCACTACGCACCAGGGCATGGGAGTAACAGAGCAAACAGGACAAAGAGGCGGCAGATGGGCAGACAGTCAGACGTACAAAAACAAAGGCAACAACAAAGCGATATCAAGGTGCCCAACACAGCAGAGTAGGCAGGGAAGTCATGAAAAAAAGAAACACAGCACAGAGGCCGAAGGCAATACACAAAGGAGTATAGCATACAGCAGGGAGTGAAACAGGGCGCAACAACATCAGCCGGGTACATAGTTCGCCACAAGTGCTGCCTCGGCCGCCCTACTCGTTTCTACAGCAGTAGTGCCCGTGTATCCGCTTGGATGTCTCTGAGGAACAGGTGGAAGACCCCAAGTAGATGACCTGCTGTGTAGGGACTTGAAGACGACATGACTTTCTCACGGGCGCTCTCCTTAAAGGTGCTCGCCTTAACCGAGGCGTTGTTCGTACCGGTAGCATGTCCAACTATCCACGCGCGGTATAGGTATATGGCCCTGCTTGACCAGCTTACCACGCTGGCGGGACTGTTAACATCCACTCAAACAAGTGCATCCCCCGTGTTGTGTGGGGATTCGGGGCGAGAGTCGTGGCGCTTGCTGAGAGATGTAGTGAGCAGGACAGGGGCTTGCCTCATTGGACGATCATCCCACGGTAGAAACACGCCGGGGCCATAGGAGTCAAACCGCGCCAGGACGGCTTGCATCGACGATTGTTGTGAAACACCCATTACCCTTTCAGCCTCCTCAATTCTTGTACACGTTAGCGTGCTGAACAGCGGACATACCTTGCCGCTTTTCTTTTTAGCCGCCTTCGATGCCTTTTCCTCTTGCTTCTTCTTCTTCAGCTCCTTTGCCTCCTGCTTCGCCGCCCCTTTCGCGGCACCGCCCTTCTTCTTCGCCATGGCAGGTGTGTGTGGCCGCTAGGACAAACGAAACAAGCATGGGCAACAGACAGCACACCCGCTAAACGAAGTAATGGGAGGAGGCGTTTCGCGGCACTCTTTGCCTCCACCTTTTCCCGTCCACCGTCTCTCTGGCCACTCTGGAGCTCGCACTCGCTCGTTCGGTCGCTCCCCCACTCTCTCCCAGTCCGACCCCAACGCTTTGCCATGGAAGTCCTGGAGAAGACAAAGCGTAAGGCAAGTAGATTGACTCTGCTGATCTCGAACGATGTGGTGCCATGGATGTGCTCTGCATCAGCAGCAGGCAGCGCTAAGGATGTTGGGTTGAATTTTCGGCACCGATGTTCCCGACTTAAAGGAGACTCTTTCGAAACAAGTTCGGAGTGCACTGCTGTAACAGGGACATACCCCCACGGCGCCAGAAGCACTACTTCAGCAGTACAAGCGTCAGGCTCAAAGTTCCACACAACAGTCTACTGCTGTATGCGTGTACAGCAGTGTACAGCAGTTGTAACGGGTGCACAACGGGTGACTGATGACCACTTTTCCTCTTGATTTCGGCAGTAAATATGCACACAACCGCAGGCGGTTCAGAGACCGAGGTTCAAAATAGAGCAGGCAGGCTCCGCAAGAAGTGAAGCAGTATGCATACTTTTATGCGTATGTAGCATACATGTGTATTCCAGCAGACAGTGTAGGCGGTAGCGATTCCGCACCAGGAGTACGGGCAGATGTTCGAAGGTACTGGGCAGCTGAGACCGGCTTCATCTTTTCATGCGGAGACAAGAACAAAAGCAACAACCATGTGGTGTGCAACAGCATCACATCGTTACATGTCGACCTCACCAAGGCGTACGATTCGGTGGACCGAGACCTACTGTGGTACGTGCCCCGACGCTTCGGCGTGCCCCCGAAGATGCTGGCGGTTATTCGCCACTTCCACGAGGGCATGAGGGCGCGCGTCCGAACGGGCGACGGGCAGTACTCGGACTGGTTCGACGTGGGCCAAGGCCTCCGACCGGGATACAACCTGGCCCCGCTGCTGTTCAACTTGTTCTTTGCCGCGATGCTCATGGTCGCCGTGCCCGAGTTCGACAGGGACTCCAAGGTGACGGCGGACATGGTCAAGATCGGGACCCGAGTGGAGTACACAGGCAAGAAGGGCAGGTCGGCGGGGAAGAAGACCACGGTGGTGACGGACGCGGAGGTCCTGTGGGCCCTCTACGCTGACGACGCGGCCATCGTCTCGCGCTCGCCGGAGAGTCTCGAGAAGATGATGTGGGTAATCGTGCGCGTGGCCGGCCTGTTCGGACTGATGGTATCGGAGCCAAAGACGGAGATCATGTGTGTGCTGCCGAAAGGGATCGAGGAACGCCCGTTCATGGTCAGCGCCGCCGGCCAGACGTGCAAGCAGCAGATTGGTTTGTGTTCCTCGGACGTACCATCTGCGTGGACGGGAAGGCCGACCGGGAGATCACGAGCCGCAGCTGCCGAGCGTGGAAGTGCTACCGCCGGAACGGTGCTTCGATGTACGACAGGCGACGGGCCGACCGCCAGCTAAGATCCGGCTACTCCAGGCTGAAGTGGTGCAGACTCTCACGGGTGCGCCTCGTGGAGCCTAACAGCGGAGCACTACACGAAGCTCAATGGGACCCACCGCCAGTTCCTCACACGGTGCATCGGCTGGAGCAAGCGGAAACGCTCAGACCGCCCCCTGTCCTATGCCCAGGCCCTCATCCAGGCAGGCTGCGAGGAAACCATCGAGGCCACCGTGCGCAAACGGAGACTGTGTTTCGCGGGCTTNAAACCATCGAGGCCACCGTGCGCAAACGGAGACTGTGTTTCGTGGGCTTTTTTTTTTTTTATGCGCATGGAGAACAACCGCCTCCCCAAGCGCATGCTGCTAGGAGCGATGGCGGGAGGCGTGGGATACCGGGGCGGGCAGGAGAGCGACTGGGTGTCTCGTCTAGGAGAGGACCTCGTGGCCTTCAATATGGGAGACGAAAAGGAAGGGAGGAAATGAAAAGAGAGAGCGCCAAGGACCCGGAGGCGTGGTACAACAAGGTCGAGGACGGGGCGGCATGGTTCATGAGGAAATGGCACAGGCAGGAGGCGGAAGCGTCCGCGAAGCGCCAGCGCGCGAGGGAAGCAGAAGCAGAGAGTACGGCCATCTCGGGACCGACGAGAGAGAGAGTCAGGGAAGCGGCGGTGGGGGGGAAGAAACAGCGACCGGGCACTGCTGTAGAAACGAGTAGGGCGGCCGAGGCGGCATTTGTGGCGAACTATGTACCCGGTCAATGTTGTTGCGCCCTGTTCCCCTCCCCGTATGCTGTACTCCTTTGTGTATGTCCTTTGTATTGCCTTCGGCCTCTGTGCTGTGCTTCTTTTTTCATGTCCTCCCGGCCTACTCTGCTGCGTTGGGTACCTTGATCTCCCCTTTGCTGTTGCTTTTGCTTTTATACATCTGGCTGTCTGCCCATCTGCCGCCTCTTTGTTATGTTGCCTCCGTTACTCCCATACCATGGTGCGTAGTGCCTGGTGCTGGTACGTTACCGTTTAATTTTTTTAGGCGAGTGTGGGAAGCGTCCTCCTTTATTTTTGTTATTGTTTTATTTTGATCGGTTTCCGAAGGGTCTTTTCTCGACCAGTCGGTGCTGTAGCTGTTATTTTCTCTCCATCATTTTATTTTCTTTCCGAGTGGTTTGTACCCTATTTTTGTTTTGTTTCCCCGCGGCGTCGTATGTGCCGGGTCTTTGCGACCACGGGCTCCCCATTCACTATAGAGCTAACGTGAGAAGCAACAAACAACAACATATGTAGTCTAGTCTTCACGTCTCCACAGCAGCAGAGTTTGACAGAACTGACTTTGCCCCTCGCCTATGACGACGTATTTTTATTTTATATCTACAGAGTGCATGCGCGGTGTGCCTAACCGCCCCCTGTGTGTACAGCACAATCGGTTGATGACCGGATGAAAGCTTGGCTCAAGTCCTGTTGTTATTCCGCGTTGCATGATCCACTCCCTAGCGACAGGTTGTGGGTTCGATTCTCTCCGCGGAGGGGTGTATTCCCGGGATTTATTTCCAGCAACCTGTAAGTGGAAAGCGATCTATAGGTCGTGAGTAAATACACTTGACTTCGGTTCCATGGTCGACGAGGGAAAGGAATGGCTGAACCCTTCTCGCGATATAAGCTTAAGGCAAGCACCGCAGCGGGAAAGGTGGGGCAACAAAACAAACATGAGAAAAACTCCTGTGTGACCTTCCTCTTGTGTGACCCCGGCTGATACGTCAGGTATATACGCCGAAAGACCAGAAACCCGGCGCCAGAATAGATGGGACGAACACACACAACACACATTTGTGAACCTAAAGATTGCAGCAGTAGAGTGCCTGTCGAACAGCAGTGCGTACCCCACTGCCCGCCGTCATTTTTAAAATACCGGTGAGCTCGCACTGACAAGAGCTGGTACAGTAGCGCGGGCTACACTATTTACTTCCGGTTCAGGTAGGTACGCTGGACCCCTCCATAGTGCCGGTTCAGGCCACATGAGTTCATTTTCATTTACCCACAAACACACGCGCGCCCACACAGACGTACCCGCGCTGCTGCTGTACCCCTACAGGACGTCATACCGTGTGCGTACCGTGTGCGTAGCTGGTGAATAGACAGACTTTAGGGGGATTTGCGGGGCGAGGCGGGGGGTGCAATTTATCGCAGAACATTTTCCTTCCGGGTGCCGTGTTTGAGCGGTCTCTTGGTTGGAGGTTCGCTGCAAGCCCTTACCTGAATTGTGGGTGCTGCTGCTTGCAAAGTCGTCACAGCGACATGACCGCACCAAAAGGGGGCCGTTGGTACTGCTGTATGTCGCTGATCGCTTGTCTCAAGTCGCACATGTGGTACGTTTTCATAAAACATTTTTGTACCCATAAAGAGCGTATCGGCTACACACACTACGGTGGTGTGCCTGTTTGGTTTTGGGCGTTTTGCAGGCTGCGCATACATGCGTAGCATTCTTGTTTACAAGTGGCATTGGCGTGCAACCATTGAAGAAGATTCCGCATGTGCAAACATCTTGCGTGCATGTCACTCGCAGACATTGGCATATTACTTATCAATAATGCGGATGAGTGATTGCGCCGTATGCGCGATCATACTTGCCCCAGGCACAGCAATAACACAGGATCATTTCAATGCTTACTTGGTTGTCATGTTTTGCGACAACTCTTTTTGGACCGTGTACCTACCTGACACCAGCCAGCACTCCTGATGGGCCCGGTTGTGAAGTTGTCAAATCTGTACTTGAACTCTTCTCCAGTGGTGCCGGCATAAGCTGTACTCATGGTCACCTATTACAGCAGAACCGGTGCCTGGTAAGGGGCCTTTATAACTGTGACTGTGTATGGCGCTTTCTTCTAATTTTTCCAAATTTCCAAATTCCGAAAATCTTCAATTTTTCAAGAAGTTTGAACGATTCCAATTTTTTCGGTGCTAGTAGTTCCCAAATTTCTAAATTTCCATTTTGTTCGCTCGGCCGCAAAGCGAGGTTCAACTGTCTGCATGTTTGGAAATTTGAAATTTGGAAATCTGTAATCGAAGTACTTCTGCTGTATATAATTAGTATCTGCTGTAAAAACGGCCCTAAGGTGAATCTGGCGGGCACGTATCATACGTGCCGGCACTGCTGAGGGAACTTTCCTTGCTGCACACGGTAACGGTTAGTTGGATGCATCCTGCGCTGAATAGATCACTTGTGCTGTAGGCGTTGTTCACAGTTCTTCTTCTCTCTCTCTCTCTCTCTTCTCTCTCTCTCTCTCTCTCTCTCTCTCTCGCTCGCTCTTTCTCTCTCTCTCTCTCTCTCCCTCCCTCCCTCTCTTTTCTCTCTAATCCAACATTCCAACACGAAAAGGTGGTGGTGCGGCAAAGACGGCACGAGATCCTGCGGGCGGTCGTGGGCTGCTTCCTTCTAACCCTTCTTTTCTACTTGCTCGATGCGAGACATCCCAAGGTATGTGTGGACTTCTCACCCAACAGACGTGGTCTCCGTGCATGGACGATGATCAACAAACGAATGTGGTTGCTCTGCATAGACTGTGAACGAGGGTGGTCGCTACGCATGGACCACGAACAAATGTGGTTTCAATGCGTGGGCTCCTGTGAACGAACGCGGTTTCTATATATATATATAAGCACTCAAACAGGAGGTGGCGTTTTCGGCACTCGCTGTGGACTTGACGGATTTGTATTGTAGCCTTTGGGTTTTCTCGATTGCGTGCTCGCACCGCCTGCACCAGACGGTGTAGCGAAGAGCTACTTCTGTCCGGGTTCGATTGTGAACGAGTGTTTCGTGAGATATAAGTATGCCGGAGAGACCGGCAAGAGAACGTGTTTATTTGAGAGTCTGTCGATCTAGAAAAGCCCGCGCCATGTAAAATAGCTCACCGATGGGAACGTAATCTCTTCGCAGCACTCACAAGCACAACGGTTTGTAGTTCTTGGGGTTGAACGTGAACGTTTTCATATTACTGTAGCGAGTGTCAACCGTCAGTAGTAGCGGGCGGGCGTTTTTGATCTGGCCTGGCATGACGGAATTCTCAGTGCAAGGAGCTAAGAACAGACTCCAACAAGTCTGATATTTTTTTGTCGCCCCCTTTCCTCCCTCGAATCATCGCTGAACTGCACGTTTGTTGCCGCTCTTCCTCCGCCTCCCATCTCAACCTTTTTTACCCTGGCGTGCCATCCTCAAGTCGTCGCTATACTGCACGAGGCACGCGATTATGCCCGACAACGAACTCGAGGCTGCCAAGGGACTCCACGTAGAGGACATCGACTGCAGCCTGGTGGTGCGCCCGACCAGAACGGCGCTCGATCTAAGGTTCTTCGGGGAGGTAAGGAGTCCGTCTCGAGAGAAGGAGCACTGGCCGTCGAAAAATTCTTGGAACTTTCTCTTGTTCCCCCCTGGTGTGCAAGGTTCTTCGAAGAGGTAATGGGATTAGAGTACTGGCCAATGTCTTGGAATGTCCTTGTGTCAGTTTTATTGTGCGTCCTTGGTTCCCCTCGTGTGTAAGGTTCTTCGGAGAGGTACGGGGAGTCGTTGAGAAAAGAGCACTGGCTAATTTCTTGGGATTTTCGTTGTTATTTTTTTTTTGTGCATTCTTGGTTGTTGATGTTTGTACAGCCCCGGTCGGTACAAGTGCTGTCGTTGTCGTTGTCGTCGTGTCGTTGTCGTCTCTTTTGTGATGTTGCTGTTTTCCTTCGTTGCTGATGCGGAGGTATACGAACCACACCCACATCCTCTTACACTCACGTGTTCACTGGCCGGAGTCCAAGAAAAGCTTTTCCCATCGTGCTCTGTGCTACCCCTCCCCGCCTCTCCCCGCCGAGAGCTTGCAAAGGAACAACAACGCAACCCTCTCGCCAACCCCCCACCGACAGGTATCCTACAGCTTTGAGATAGTGGCGGCGCGTCTCGTGAGGCCGCCGAAGCGCCCGCCGGACGCTAGGAGTGGCCGCTGCCGCAACAAATGTTCACCGGGGAAGGCGTGTCCGTGCAACCGCGACAGTCCCGCGCGAAGCCGAAGGCTTGCGGAGGACTTCGAGCCGCTCGGGAAGACGGAGGTCGCCATTAGTTTGCCTGAGGGGGACGGGGAGGGTCAGAAGGGAGAGGCGGGGGGGGGGGGGG